CCTTTCCCCAGTGCAGATATAACATACCAATCTCCCTGCTCTGTTTAATACACCTGCATTCTCACTCTCTATCATGTTCACTGATGAAAACGGCTTGACAGTGGTGTGTAACTTTCGGGCCATTCGATGGTCACTTAGGACGACATGGAAACAGCTGACTGGTCGGTTTGTGTGTACGGAGTCTACTTGAATGAAAGTGAACAACAACCAGTCTGGCTTGGTAGAAGATCTCGCGCCTAAGCGTGACTACTGCAAGAACGTGGGAGTGTTATGAATGGATTAAAGATATTTCCTATCAGCTCTTGGTACCCGCTATAATGTGGCGACGAGTCATTTAGACGCAGTTTTAACGTCTATGACATATGTATCTGCAGTTCAATCGTAATCTGCCACACAAAGTCGTGCCGTATATGCTCTATGGTCTGCTCTAGTTTTATTCAGCCGGTGAATTTCCCTTTTCCTGGTCCGTTCAATGCTTATAGATTGCCTGCCCCATACAATGTTTAGAGATTTTATTAATGCGAATATTCGCGCGAAGTTTCGGTGTCGTGTTTTCGCGGACGGTGTTTCTAAATTTAGACGAAGCGCCGAAACTGTAGCGGTGCGCGGATCAACAGAGCTCTATGATATCTGTCATTCCAGAGGTGAAGGAACGGCCCCATGCAGTTAACAAAATACTTTCGAGATACGCGTTCCGATTGGATCCTGCTGCACGAAAAAGAGGAAGCAGTTTTCGCGTGCATGCGCGCGTAGTCATTATTCTACGCTCCCAACACATTTTGTACAATGCGGCGATGCCTCGTCCTATCTTCCTAACTGGCGTTATTTGTCGTCTCTACTTGCAGCTGGAAAGCTCGGTCGCGTGCGCACGCATTTTTTTTTCGAAGCCATTGTCTGCGCGAGGACAAAAGAGCACCGAGGACGGCCGCATCAGGTGCTCTCTTTCGAAACGTGATCGAGAGACAGGAAGACGCGCTAAGCGCGGCTTCCGCCCTCCTCTCCCTCCAATATAGACACCCATGCGCGAGCAGCGGATCGTCGCACAATGCGAACACCACTTGGCTTCATCCTGTTGCCGGGCAACCGTAACGGCTAATTTTTTTTCTTGACACTACCCAAAACATCCAGCAAGCACCCCTCAAGGACGTGCAGTGGCACACCAGAAGCCCCGTAAGTGCAGTGATGGCATATTCTGCCTCAGCTGTTATCACGAGCAGCCCTACGGCGATATCAAGTGTATGGAACAAATGATTCCACGACATCACAACGGAGGCTGTGTAAATGCATTCGCAAACTAGAAGCCCCTTCCAACGACGTCATATCCCTTTTTGTTGACTGCGACCAACCCAGGCTCAGTATACGATATTCAAATGCACGGAAAGAACGAATGGTCAGGGACGCAGGTCGCTAGCATGCATGCGCCTACGAGGTATTTAGTTTCGATTTAAGAAATATGAGGCTAGGGACCAATTCTTTCTCGGTATCAATGCACACGACTGCCGCTGCGCTGTACTCAGAGGAGTCGAAGTATCACACACGTTTCGACGCGTAACAGAAGGTTACGACTGTGTCGCATTGGAACGGATGGGTTACCGGTTGGTGTAAGTACTCGTCCATAGACAGTAAACGACACGACAAAACTGAATTTGCTGGAATCGACCTTCGCTGCCGAGCGCAGAATGCGACGAAAGCGCCGAACTGTACTAGTTGAGTTTGTATATCAACTACGATATTTGCTCCTTATACCACCAGCCGATGTACAGGGATTCGAAGATATCACCTCCAAAGATACTGATGAATTGTTAACAGCGACGAAATGCTTCTAGACACGTGCGAAGGTGCAACGGCAAAGAAACGTAAACAGTGGGAACGTCACCACGGAAATCTACCGTTTTCTTTTAACATTGTTCCGCTGGCCCCCCCTTCGCCCATTCCCTGGCAGCGAACGACGGCATCTTTAAAAGACTGGCGACACGGCACGGATTCTTTCTCAAAGAGGTACGTTTCTCTTGTTTATCGAAAAGTAGGCAAGTAGATAAGCAACGACCTGGTGAAGGATAATCTGTCGCGATGGTGGCCAAGAAGTACCGGGAAAAAACAGCTTGGGCTGCCGGAGCACTGCCAGAAGGGTTATATTGAAAGAACAACAGCGCATGGTACAGCTTTCTTTCTACACGATAGCGCACTGCCCAAGCTACACGACTCAAGTCGCTGCTACTAACACTGAAAAACGCAACAATGTGCTTAACTTTGTGGACAGGCTCTTTGCAAATTGTTATTCGGCTGTCTTCAACAATAGCCGACGCACGACATGTGCCCCATGCCAAGCGCAACACGAAAGAAGAATTAGAGCTTTCTTGCCTTCCACAATAAGAACGTAGCGGTATTTACATATGGGTTACCTTCATGCTTACACCTGCTTTTGTTATCCAATGCAGTATCAGTTGCGAGCTCATTTATAGTCTATATTTCAAAGATCTCAAAGTGAACAAGTACGAATCATCGAAGCTGGCAGAGCATGGTAACGGAGCGTGACCACATGCAAGCGTCGAAACCGTGTTGCAGGAAATGCTGATTTGTCTCATTCCACGTTGGTCCATTGTCTATGTTATCAACCTCGAGGTTGATATGAACGGCTATTGTGGTAAATGAAGGTTTGTTTCACACACATATTTGTAAGCAAGACCTACCGGAAAAGTAGGCCGCAGCGGTTGGTTTCAAGCACGAGTGTACAGCCTGGAAGCTGAGATCAAAGGCCGGCACACGTGTAAACCCCACGCGTGTTACTACGAATAAACTTGCAATCTGATCACTATCTTAGTACAGATGCACGAGATCGCGTGTCCGGAAGAGGCCAGTATCGTCTCTCTAGTGGTTATGTGATGGTGTGCGGTGCACGGTGACGGTCCTGGTACATTTACGTTCTTCGGGTAATGGCAAGCACCGTGTACTGCGGAACACCGCAAGAAAAGCTTCGTACAATCGGCTTTTGTTTCACCGCGAAAACTGCCCCGCACACTCTCTGGGCTATGCGTAACATGTGACCACAGCCTTTTCAGATTAGACTTCTTCCAGATAAACTTGAAGCTGTAGTGAAGAACCGGGCACTCGGCGAAGGGCTACGGCGTGCTGGAAGCGTAATCCGTACCGAGGTGACGGAGGGAAAGGAGCAAAGCACTGGTCTGCATCAGGCGAATGCTCGAACGAGCGACAAATCCCTCGCACGGCGTAACATCCTTCTGCGATGATCGATGACCGGTGACGCAATCCAACACAAACTGTTGTGGCTGTAAGGCAAACAACTTCATCATACCGTCAGAAATGCCGGAAACCCCTTCACGTGCGACGACCACGTGCCATAGGTGCGTCGAAAGTTATCTAATAATAAAGCACTACAGGTGCCACTTTGCGATGAGCCATGTTGTAAGAAGTGGGTCGTGGCAAAATGCATGGAAAGCCGTGGCTGTCGCATGGGCCATTGCGGGCCCGACCACGGAACCTGGCAACGACTACTCTTTGCTGCAGAGGGCGCACCCCGGAAGAAGGCGGGTGGTGTCAGTACGTTCAGAAAGTCGCGGTACAACTGCTGAAACATCGTGATCGCGGATAATCAGAGGCTATAGAAGAATAGAAAAAACGCGGTTCCAATCAAGGAAAAGAAGCTACGAGTCACGATCTGGACCGCAGCCAAAAATCGATGAACTGATTTCGAAACAGACGCCGCGCCGCCACTGCCGGCGCGGGCTCAGGCCCGAGGTTTGTGGCGGGACATCACTCGCAGCGGGTCAGCCCCTTTTCCCTGTCGCAACGAGCATCACTTTTAATCGCGCGCCTAAGACTCGAAAATGAGGTTTGCGCGCAAGGACGTCTGCGGAGGCAAGCGATCGCGGCAATAAATAAGCCACCGCTTGTTCCCTTCGCTACTGCAGGTAGAGCAAGCGGACATTTTTAAATGGCGGACCCCGGTCATAAAGCTCGCCTTTCGCCGCATCGCCTTTTCGCACCGCAGAAGAACGCCTACTTTCGCACTGCGAGACCAGTGAGGAATCTGTAGACCGGAGAAATTGCCGACGTCCTGCCCTGGAGTAGACGAGGGAGCTAGAACATGCCTCGTACGCTAAGCGGCGCCGAGAAAACCCGCACCCCAGGGCGCAGCGCGCGGCCGCCGCATGGAGCATGGGTAACGCGGAGGACCCAGGGTCATACATCTACAGTGTTGCCGGCATGAGGGCCGCGCAAAGTGGGCCACGGGTCCGTGGCGCTCGTATCGGCATTACGACAACGACGACCTTGTTCAGTGACTGACGTCGCGTTGGGCTTTCGACGCGAGGCACCAAACACGATGAGCACTGGCGCAACCGCACAACCTGCCTGCCGACCGGTAGCGCCGCAAGGTGCAAAAGCCGGCGCGGGTAACTTCGGCGACCGGTTCGCGTGACCTTAGCAGCGCTTTCCCTGCATGAAACCGTGCGCTGCCACACCCCACTTCGAGTCGCGTGAACATGCGGTGAAGAAAAGCTGGCCGACTTGCTGCGGTTACTTTCACCCTGCCACGGTCAAGGCCTGTGCGGACTCTTCGCGGCTTAGCGCTAGCGGCGCTCGCGAGGTGGGCAGGGCAGGCAAACGGAGGACACGCGCAGCCCAACCATCCCGTGCAATACAGAGGTCGGGACTTGAGGGTGGCCCCTCCCCGGACTCGGTCCCCAATCCCGGAGGGGTGGGCTTCCCCCCCGCGGCAGCACGACCGACGATGGGGGGTCCTGGCAAAATCAATACGGAGCAAAGGCACCGATCGCCATTTGCGCCGGCGACGAGCGGCGCCGCAGTGCTTCGCCCAGCGGGGCGCGAGCGAGCTCTCGCAGGCGGCAGTAGCGGAAAACAACAACACAAGCAGCAAAGACCCGGGGCACCCGCCATGTTGTGCGGGGGGGCCGGCCGCCGCCGTGCAGCAGCAGCGGCCGCGTGAAGCGCGCGGCGCCGGACAAGTGGAAAAAACTTACCTGGTCGTCCTTTCCTCTGTCCGCCATGATGACTCCCTCAGGAAGAGATCACTCTGCGCGGAAAGGCTTGTATAAGTACGATGCGCACCAACTACTGACGTAACAGCGTCGCCCTCCCGCTACGGACAGCCACGCAGCTCTGCTGTGGCTCTTTGCGCCGGCCCTTGCTGAGAGCAGCGCTGGCGGCGACGGTGACTGCTGCTGCTGCTGCTGCCCGTGCTGCGCGCCGGTCGCGGCAGTCGACAATCGCTCGCCCTGCTCGCCTTGGTGCCTCCGCTGGCGCCATCTCGTGCGTGGACGCCGAGGCGCGCCACCGCCGCCGCCACGTGAATGCTGCGTTCGCTCTGCGCCTTCTCGGCGCTTTACTTGTGTGTGCGCTTTGTATCCCGCCTGTGGTCCAGTTACTTTACATTGTGGACGCCCCAGTGCGGGTGGTGTCCAGCGCTTTATGCGCAACCTCCTCTCTGTTATTTCGTTTCTGATCGTTTAGGCGATGTCCAATATGAAGTCTCTCTTTTTTATTTTTGTTTCTTTTTTTTGACCAGCCACCTTTGCATCCCCCTCAGTATTTCATATACTTCAACACCGAACAGCCAATCGGTGTGACGTCCCGCTGTGAGCTACCACTACCCTCCTCCCTAGTTTCCTCGCCTCCCGCGCGAGGAGCCCTCCACTGAGAGAGGCAGTAACGGAACTGCGCCTATTTCTCCCTTTTCCCCTTTCGAAAGTCACTTACATTCCCCACTTCAGAAACTTACTGCCACACATTCCCTCTTTGCACAAAAAAAAAAGATAAAAGAAAAGCGAAAGAAAAACAGCAGGAACAGTGCCGTCGCTCCAAGTGCCGTCGTTAAAGGATTTGCGTCACTGAGGGGCGCATTCAGTTCAACAAAGAAACTAGAGAGAGAGAGAAATAGTTGTAAATAATGGGCAAACGTGGAAAAATGTAAAAGCATGGCCCTGAGGAAAGAGAAGTTGTAAAGGTCTAATTTTTGCACAGGCAATGCTTTTTTGTTTGTTTTGTTTTCAGTTTTCTGCGGGTAGTTTATTTCAGTCCTGGGTTGCCCTTCTTGTTCATCCTCATATCAAGGCACCGGTCCCAGCGAGGAGGCAGAGGAGGTGCGCCCGGGCTGCGAGTCGGGGCGGAGGAGAGGTGACCCCGAGCCGTGGCGTTGTCGTCGTCAGCCCGGGCCCGCTGCCGGGGCGAGAAAGATAATGTCAAGGTTCAGAGCGGCGTCCTGCTGCACGGAGGCAGGGCGCACGCCGGAGCGCTCCACTACTACTTCCGGGTTGCCGCTGCTCGAAGACCTCGTCCATCTCTTCGTCCACCTGTCCAGATGATACGGCTGTTCCACCAACAGAGGGGGAAAAAAGTTAGCGAAAATAATCCTCCTGGTTAGATTTAACCTGGCATGCTCAGTGATCTCGACGGAGCACTCTCTGCTACAGCCTGAACCCGGCGGGATGGTCTAACTGCGCCGAAAACAGTTTCATCCTGCGATGGTGTCTGTGCCGCACGCTGACCACCGTCACCTGGCCCGTGTGCACCTTCTTGCTTTAGTGTCATGCGTCCGGTACTTCCGGATGTTGAACGACAGTTTATTATTTATTTATTTTTATTTATCGAATACTGCAGGCCCATTCAGGCCCCAAGCAGGAGTGGATACATACTCAAAATACAGAGGTAATAATAAAAGTAAACGTCACGCATTAAAACAACGAAATAAAGTAGAGTGTACGTGCATATACATACACAAACACTTAAATGCCAACCATTGTAATAGCAACGAAACAGGAGATAAGAAAAAAAGTGATAAAACGACCGATGGGCACCTCTATGCCTGTATACAGTAAGTGCCAACACAAAATACCGCAGTTCCCAAAATACCGCACAAAAATATCACAGCTCTCTACGCATCTCCAGATTAAACGTCACATCAGCAGCATAAAATAAGCCAAACAATATGATAACAATGTATCAACAACCATTCATTAAAAAAAACAAAAAACAGATGGAGTGCGTGTGCATAACAAAGTACCAGAAATTCGGGAGCACCAATAAAAGGTCCCGATAGCAAGGTGTCAATGGCAGTAACTGAATATCAGGTGGTTCCATAACATTCGTGGCACCTAAGTGCCGAGTTTAAAAACAAACAAAAAAAAAACAAGCAAGCAAGATTACTATTACTTTGTGAGAAAAAAAAAATGATGACTGTAGAATGTACGGCGTTCTGCTGACCGACTTTAACGAGCGTGTTAGACCCCCTCTTTTCCCCCTCCCCGCTACAGAGTGGTCGGATTTCGTTCGATCGAGCGAACAAAATTCAAAACGACCTCGTGCTTTTTCTTTAGATATTAATACGCGTTAAAGAGCGCCTGTTGAGAGCTTGAATTGAATTTATGTAGATGGGTCTCATGAGCATAATCACATTGTACAATACAAAACGCGACAATATTTAAAGTAGGCTAAGATGCTTGCTATCAAGTTGCTAGTTGGTAAATAGCAACTATCAAGTATATAATTAAATTGAGTTTATTCAGACAAACATTGCCTAAGTTGAAGGGACTAAAGGTAGATTACTCTGTCTCACTAAGGTCCTTCCATCAATAAATTTGCTAAGATGCAGTTTGACATAACAATACAAATACTTATTTTTTTTTAGAAACTCGAAGCGAAATTTGAAGTGCAGAAAGAATACCGGAAACGAGCATCTGAAAATGCAGCAGTATAATCAACAGCAGCTACCCGTAAAATGACGGAAAATATGCAAATAAACTGAAATCAGGAGCATACTATAAGGAAAGAGGCTAAGTACAATACAAAAGGCAAAACACACGTTGAAAGAAATGAGTGACTCCTACATAGTTATGCAAACTATACACCGACACTGAAAGAATCATTCATAGCGGATGAGATATTTAGGCAGCTGTACAAGAGATTTAGTAAATTTTGACATTTCTCTTTAAACGGTGCTTGGTACTTTACCGTGTTCTTAAAGTTCAGAGACATATCTATAGTTGTGTTACGTATGTGATATGACAGCGTTTCCTTTCCGTGGGCTGTCTTGAAAAATGGCAGTCTAAATCAATCAAAATATGCAGATCAGGGAGCATCTTCTAGGTAGCAATGCCCCAAATAACTGCCTACGCTGTTTCCGATTTCTTTGCCAATATATAGGGCGAGTTTAAGAATGCATAATTAGTGGACAATAAGTGCCTCATGCTTGTCTGAAAAGAGAGGAGTGAGTTCCGAAGGTGAGCTCTAACGTGAGCTCTGAAGCCGGCTTGGGACTACAAATCTATGTTTGTATAAAATAGAAATCCATCTATTCATACCGGCATGTACTTTGTTCTTTTGCGGTGTCCAACTCAGGGTCTCATGGAAAAGTACGCCTAAAATTTGAACGAAGGGACACGCTGCATCTCGTTATTTTCAAACCAGACAGAAATGTTATAAATCTTCACACTTATGTTCACTCTTTACCGACTATCTAGTTAGTATAACTGTATAACTAGCGACTGGGTCTGAGTTGCTAGCTAGAAAGGTGCTTACTATCTACAAGACCGGTGGAGTGGTAGGGGCGAATCCAGCCACCCATTTTAGGGGGGGGGGGGGCGGTCACTTGTATTAAATGGTGGGCGTGGTCATTACTATTTTGTTTTTACTAGCACGAAAACCCTGTAATGGCATAAATACTGTTAATATGCGCTCACAGTGGTCCCACTCATTTGTCCTAACTGGTGATAGCATGTGGATGGCAAGCACGCAAGAGAGGGGGAGGAGGTGCTGATAGGCTTTGAGGGGGGAGGCCGATCGCCCCCCCCCCCCCCCCCCTCTGGATCGGCCACTGCGAAGTGGTATCGATGAGATGGAACGTCTTCATGTACGCGCACTTATTCGGCCCCTTGCAAAGGTGACCTGTGAAGTCTGCGCTAAAAATGGAAGCACGTTTTGTAATTTGAAGCCGCTTCCGAAAACGACCAAGTGGTACAAACACACACACATATCGATTGTTCAATCTTGGTTTATTATAACGATTCCGTGCCACGGGCATACCACAATACACGATGACCGAGGAGAAAACACACAGGACGAGCGCTAAACATCACCAACTTTTTAATTGCACAAATGAAGTACTTGAAAAGCAACCAAACCACGTAGAACCAGCAGTCGCGCCACCTTGCAACACACGATGTTATCTGATGTGGCAACGTCCCAAAGACAAGTACCCGCACACGTCCGGAAGACTAACAGAAGCGATCGGCATGTCATAGCCCATTAGTGTATAAATAAAGAGACAAAAGCCACCGCAAAACTAACTCGAATAATGAGAAATGTAGGTCTATACACAAAACTATATTAACCTTGTTCCACCGGCAAGTTAACCTTGGTTTCTACCAATCACAGTTAACCGCGCTGAACCACGGTTAGCGCAAACCATGGCTGCTGATGTTACACAGCGCAAACGCATCCGCGTTTAAGGCTTCTAGGCGGCTGACTCATCCTCCATGGACGCCACCATTTCCTAGGTTGACCGCCGTACCGTGGCTGCCATGCTCGATTACCTACTAGCGTGGTTAGCGGCATCGCCGTGGTTTCGCGTAACGTGTAACATAAACTAACCACGGTTTAGGCTGCCTGCGTTACACAAGTGGCCTGAACCTTGTTACACAAGTAGGCTATAAACCTCGGTTCTCCTATGTTACACGGTATACGCGAAACCGCGGCTACACACAGCCGAGCGCCTTAACCGAGCACGCAACCGCGCAGTTTAACGTCGGTGAACCACGGTTGGCCGTGACCCAGCTAACGTTCCTGTGTAACCGGGGTATAAGATGATGCATGCTGTTTTTTTTTTTTGGTGCTCGTCCTGCGGACTCCTTCCCCTGGCTGTAGCTGTTGCGACGAATCGTAACCAGCTCTCCCGGTTTCCGCTACCTCAATTCTCTTTATTCGTATTCCCCGTTGGGCCAAGTGATCTGTTTTACTCGACAAGAACAATACGCGATCAACACGTGCGCTACGGGAAGAGACTAGATTAATGACGCACCATGATGGATATATATGCGAAGTGTCGTATAAACTGCTCACTTATCCGCATATAGCTCTGGTGAATACCACTCACATGACCATTCTAATTGAAGCCAAGGGGTTGATAGGGGTAATTACTGCAATATTCGGTTCAGTTTTACAGACGACAAGCTAAAGTGAAAGACTAGACAAAAAAAGAAGAAAAAAAAACGACAACTTGCTTTTTGGCAGCTGATCATATGTGTGCACAGAGCTCCAACATAACACGTGCGTTGCATTATTTATTTATTTATTTGTTGTTTGTTTCTTTATTTATTTATTTACAGATTACATTGCCTTATAGGCATTGCAAGGGAGAAACAAAAACATACTCACTACAAAGGGACGCGTAGCAAAGATATATGAACGCGTGTACAAAAACACCATAACGTGCAACCAGCTCTGCCTCAAGGTCTAACTTATTTGCGTAACATATTGGTCTCAGATATTTGTGAACAAACAATGTGAATTATTAGAAATAGTAACCACTGCGGTTTTAAAGGTCGAAACAAGCGACGAGAATATGAGGCACAAGGGCTCCGGAAATTTCGCCCACCTCGGGTTCTTTAACGTGCACCTGAGTCTAAGCACGCACGCCCATATCAACGTCCTCCTCCACAGAAAATGCGACCGCCGCGTCCCGTGTCGAACCCAGGACCTTCGAGCAAGCAGCCGGGCGCCGTATAGCCACTGTACCACCACGACGACTGTTATCCATGGTGTGGCGGAGGCCACACCCATGTTCACATTCTGGGAACCTGCAACGACCACCACTGCAAAATCGCCCCTGAAACGCTGTAGCACATAGCAATCGTTTCTCGCCGGAGGATAAACAATGGACAAAAATAGAACGCACATCGTTACACATCATCTGTGCTGCCCGCAATAGTATGTTATAGTTTGAAAAAAAAAAGATGTATTAAGCTATTATTTATTTATTTATTTATTTATTTATTTATTTATTTATTTATTTATTTATTTATTTATTCATTCATTATTGAAGAAACAGGACGATTTTTGAGGATACACTAATAAGTAAACCATGTAACTTCTCTCGCGAGCATAAATTACTTTTTTTACGTTATACTATAAAAAAGTATTAAATCGTTCCATCTTTATCTAAACACAAGCACCCCTTCCACCGTATAACGTCTTGTTAACCAAAAAGGCGCAAAATAAAAACATAGAGACGCCTCAAATACAGTTTTTCTCCTTTTTGAAACGTCTTACCTACTTCCTTAAATATGTTAGCCTTGTGGCAGATGTGTTGCTAATTAATCAGTGAACACTAATTACGCTGTGGTATTGTAGAGGGAGCCCTATATATCAAACCCGGCAACGTTCAGGTAATTACGTTGTGTCAGTAAGGACAAAATACGGAATACGTGATGCATCATGAAACTAAAGAACGAAATCATAATCCTGATTTTTCTTCTTGTATTGATTAACCTGGGTTGACTGAATGAATGACAGTACGAGTTCTCTAAGAACAATTTATCAGTATGCACCGACATATACAGTATATCACTTTCCTAAATCCCCTTAAAACACCCTGGTGCTGCCTTGACCACCGGAAAGGGAAGACGCAAGCACAGTACGCAAATAATCGGGAAGTCATAAAACGGCGCCTCGTTATAAGCTGCCCCTCTGTATATATATAGTAGGCGATAAAAGGCTCGCCACAAGTTATCCCTAATTACTCGCAAAACACAAAACACACGCAGCTGAAAGTCTTGCGCACGTTTGAAATGCAAACACGTCTATTAAGAGTGGTTGGTGTGTTTGGGAAAAGCGTTAAACGATTTCGAGTACTGCGTACTCAGCTATGGGAGAGCAGTGAGCCGTCCGGATAACTACGAGAACCTCAAATGAACAGCCTGCATTATTTTTATCCATATAATGCAACGTTGTAAGACTGTACAAAAACAGCAAGCATAGTTAGCACCGTGTATCATTCTCCAGCTTTTCATTATTTTTGTTACATATATATGAATTATGAGCCGAATTGAAACGAGTTGGCAATGAGATGAGAAAGAAACTTCGTTCAGATTGTTGAGACCTCTAACCATTGAAAGAAAAGAAAAATCAAAAACGCATGGGCGCTTTCGAAAACGCATCCGAAAAAATTGGCAGATCCCACGCACCGGGAATGGTATGCGAAGCACAAATGAGAAATGTTGATATGCTACTTTAAAATCAGCGCAACGTTACGAGGTGGAGGTAAATGATGCCATGCATGACTTCCGTTTCATGATTATCATGTTTGGATCTGTCGTTTACCTTCGTCATCTATTCATGTTACGTGATACCAATATCAGTATATGCGGAGCTATAGGAGAAACGGCCGCGAGCCCGCTATTAGCGTGGTATGTTGTCATGTTGTTGCATGACACGCGTGTCAGGATTATCATGTTTGCTCCAGTCATATATTTTGTCATCTATTGACGTCACGTAACACCAAGCTTGGTATATGTAGAGCTAGCAAGATGGCCGCTGGCAAGTCATGAAGGGCCCATTATACTCCAATGTAACGTTGATGTGCGCGTACGCTGGACACAGCGATGCTACGTGAGCGAAACGCCAGCACTCTAGTCTAGGTGGTGATGGTGACGACAGGCGTGACCGGCGCGACCAGCGTCCGTCGGCGCGGCCCGACGGCAACCGACGCGAAACACGGTGTCTCCCTCTTTTCGTGACGGAGGGACACCGGACGCGCTGAAACGGACATGCGTCAATGCAATGCAGCACGGCGCACGCCTGCGAGTATATGACAGGACCGGCGCCTGGCTTGGCAACGCTGGCGTGACGCGACGAAATGAACGCCAGCGAGCACGCGCACCGCGTCACGTCGAAACGTATTGGCACCTTGACTGTGGCATGTAGTCATGTTCTCACAT